ATCAGATTTTAAGTAATATTGTGAGAAAGATCAAGTAAAACTATTGACTATTGTAAGAACGATAATCCACTGCTATTAGCAGCTGTATTTGCAAAATTAAATTTAGGTATATCTGATTACCTGAAAATATCAACACTTAACAATTTGTAAGTTTCTTTAAAAATTAAAAGCTGTATAAAGAAATACTTTGACAATTACAGAACCCATTTTTGTTACCTTCTCTCTTGATTACTCCAGAATAAATTACTTCAAATTGGTTAAGCTACCATGAAAAGTATTCTGCATTGATAATTCATAATATGCAAGAATTAAAATTTAGGTTATTTGTACTCCAGATTAATACTAGATTCTGATAAGCAAGTAGAAGATCAGGTTTCTAATTATGTAATGCCAGATATTTACTGTAATATTCACAATGTCTGCTTTAAAATATGTTTGATTTGAATTGTAGTCTGTGTTACTTGTACAAATGACATGATCCTTAAAACAGTAATAATATATCATCTTTACTAAAATATTTGGTATGTTTTTTTCTTCATTTCTAAATTTGAAAAGAAGTTAAGATAAAAAGGTACCTAACAAAGTAGCTACAACTTTTTAGCATAAAAGATTTGGGCAAGATTCCCAGAGTCCATTGTCATGAAAAAAGAAAAAAAAAATTTAAATCACATAGAAAGAAAAAAGAAAAGGAAAACTGCAGAGAGTTTTATGCAAATCAAAAAAAGAAAAAAAAAAAACACATTGTCTGAGTAACTACAACTTTTTTTCTTTTTTTTCTCTTAAATTTTTCCAAACATACAATTATTCAAATGACTGGTTTCATCACAAGTCAGTTGTCCATTTAGGCGCACAATGGCCATCACGTTAAAATAAAAATCAGAAGATTAGAGAAAATGAAAAAAGTTTCTAGTTTAGAAAAAAAAAAAAGATAAATCATGCAAATATCATTGCAAAGTGCCAACTATTTACATAATTGTATTAATTACAATACAACATTTTTATACATAACCGTAGATGGTTGATTTTGTCTAAAAATCTATAAAAATGACTCATTTAAAAGAATCAAAATAGTATTTGGCGTTGGATTTATTTTCTTCAAGCATTTTTTCTGGAAATCAAATAAAAACAACATTTTAATAACCTTAAAGCAGATAATTCTTCTAAAACTAAAACCAAAAGAAAAGAAAATTATCACTATTTTGATTTCATATAACACATTTTTCATTCATACAAAATGTATAAATAATTTTACTTTATTAACAAAATATCAAACTTGAAAAATGTATAATTTCAAATTATACGCAATCAAGATATTAGAAACTTCCAATTTTCTCCAGTTTCTCAAAATAAAAGAGAATTATTTGAAACTAAGAAATTAGTGAATTTTATACTTATTCTTTATATATTGAGATCAAAATTGTGAATAATATATTAATCACATCAGCATCAAGGGGTTAATTATATATTTGTAAAAACTTTTGGTCATAACCAAAAACTAAAATGTTAAATAATTCTTGAAATTGTATTAACAGTTCCTCACATTAACTGAATAAGGGATAAACACTAAAAAAAAAAAATTTTTTTAGTCAGTAGTAATTTTGAACATTTACTAAAGTTAGTCTAGCACAAGTTCACAGCAGTGGATCAACCAAGGAAGATTAAGTGCACTACATTTGTGAATTGGTCATTAACTATTGTACCAAAGTAGGAGACCCAAACAATTTCAGTTTGTTACAGTTCATTGGTCCAAATGTTTGAAGTTAATTACAAGGAAGGCTAGAAGTTCTCAGCCTGACTAAGGAATTTTTTTTAAATATTCTGGCCAGGTTTTGGGAAATTTCATTAAAATACTATTAATTCATTGAAAATGCAGTCTGCAGAAAAAACAACAGTATTTAAAAAGCCACCTGTCTTAATATTATCAACATTTCCACTCAAGTATTTATGAACATCTCAAAGAAATATTTAATGAAATACACAATACTTGCATCTAAATAAATTTGTATCCCATACAAATAGTACAGTATATAAGACATAAATAAATAAGTAGAGTGATACTGTGTTGTTTAAAGACTACTTAGAATAAAGTTCAGTGCTTCTAAGACAAATCTTTCAAAATATTCTCAAGCTTTGTATATCTAAGAAATGAAAAAAAAACATTCCTAGCTGCTTTCAATGATATTTTTTTTTGATATTCCAAATTTCAGGTTGTCTTAAATAACAAACAAGATGAGTATATAACTGTCGAGGTTTCAATTACAGCAGTAACTTTTCACTTCATGAGATTGCCTTGTTTCTAGAAAGAGCAAAAAGTTCAGAAATAGGTTTGACAATAAATCACTAAAAATATGCAAACTAAATAACCACAGATGAGATTTGATTCAATATCTTCATAAGTAGGCAAATTCAACATTATTGATCATGTGACAATATCTTAACACATTATTAGTTTAATCAAGTATCTTAATTTTAAAGAATGTAGCTTTATGGAATTAACATTTGGTTACCTCTTTAAATATACAGAAACATTAAAATCTAATTATACATTTTTATTGATGCCACTTGATCAAAAAAATTAAAAAGGCAAAAATAAAATTGTTAATGACTAAACATTTTTATCATTTATCTCAGATATGAAAAAAAAATTATAAAATCTATATTCAATTATTTGTGTAAAAGATTGTTCAAAATCAGTTGGAACATAAATCAACTTCAAGGTTTCAATAAGTGACAACCAATAAAACCTCTCTGTCCTGATGGTGTGTTGCCTTGACATGGTAGGCCGGCTTGCATGCTTCAATGACCCCCAGAGCTATGGGGGTGGGGACTTTGGCCCTTAGCAGGTTCAACCAAGCTCAACAGGTCTGTGGGGTAGGAGTAAGATGAAAGACACACCCTGGTCCTCCAGGTTGGGGGTTGTGCGGTAGGCTAACAACCTACTCACTTAAAAACTGGCTTGTTACAGAAACCACAACAATATCTTCAAACAATGACATGGCCGAGGAAGAGTCCTCCAAAGTGGAGCATATGATGTGTGCTGGTGAAATCCCCTGGGAGGTGAAGGCAGCCAGCACAACATGGGCTGAGCTAAAGAGGATTGCCCAGAACCACATCTGTTCAAGAGATGCTGTTGCAGCCCTATGTTCCCCAAGGAATCAAGAGGCATAACAATAATAATTATTAGAGACCACAAACAAAAAAAGTGCCTTATTGATATGGCAGTCCCTGCAGACTGCAATGTATATTTGAAGATCTTCAAAAAGCTATCAAAATACAAGGACCTTGAAATTGAAATCTCAAAAACGTGGCATATGGGAATATCAACAATTCCTGTTGTAGTTGGAGCACTTGGATTGGTTGAAAAAGATTCCAGTAGACTCATTGAAAAGATTCCTGGAAACCCATGCCTTAAAGAAATACAAAAAATTGTTCTCACGGGTACACACCTTACAAAGGGCTTTATCTATGTAATATGTGCGAGTTTTTTTTTGTTTTTTTTTTTGTCAGTGGAAAATGTCATGATGCTATTTCTAACCTTAGGTCTCTGGGTGGGACCAAAAAAGAAATGTGTACACACCAGAAATCAAAGGAAATATAATAACAATAATAGAACCTCTACACAGAAATTGGAGACTCTAATGCTTATTAGATTTCACTAGCTTCTTTAAGTCATTAACTGCAGTAGAAATTTCTTTGTAAATAAACCAAAGATCGGCAATAACAGAAATGTCTATCATCCATAGTTAATCAATTAACATCTGTTTATATTTCTTCCCTTTTAAATTTGAGGCTGCCAAAATATTAATGAAATTAAATTAAACTTTCTTTAATCAAGCCAATTTTTTATTTTTATTAAAATATTAGCTAAGACAAAAAAGAAATCTGCAAAAATAATCATTTCATGATTGGATAAATTATACTTTATATGCAAAATATTTATATTTTCTTTGGTACAAAAAGAAATACATTTTTCAAAATCACAAAATCAAAATTTACTGAATGATTTTATATATATTACTTTTAAATGAAGATATTTTGTATACACTATATAAAATATAATTTTTAATTATCCAAATGTCAATGATTAAACTAGAAATTACATAAGTTAATGTTAATCAACAAACTATTAAAAGAATTTTGAAAATTTAAATGATAAAACACTAATTATCAATTTTTTTAAACAAAAAGTATACATTGCAAATAACTTTTTTAAACTGTCAGAATATTCAGTCTACAATTTTTCTTAGTTTACTCATTGTTTTAAGAATTCTTATTCACTTTTAGTTGCACAAATATAGTGAGAAAAATTTCATAAACTATTTAAAATTGAAAAAGCAAGTTAAAAAAACATTTTAAGCTATGTCACACTTTCTCCTCTGTATAATTATGTTGTTTGTAGCATTCAGAGAAAGTTCTTCAAATTCTCAATTTCAAACCATTATTTAAAACAAAAATACAATAATGTATTAAAATCTTAGAACAGAAAGTTTTATCAGTGTTCATTTTTAATATATTACTCATAAAAAAGAAGTGAAAAAATTAACAAAAAAGCAAATGAAAACATTTCTCTGGTGTAGGCAATCAAAAAAAAAAAAAAAAAAAAAAAAAAAAATAAAAAGACAGACAACTTTCACAACCAACACTTGACAGTTGCTTTCATATATTATAGACTATAAGTGAAATACTATTTTGATCAGTGATATTTGAAAATAATCTTTTCATTTTCCTAAAGAAAAGAAGCTTAAACCTAAATATATTTTCCTTCTTCAAAAGTAGTGTCCATCTCTTAAAAGTGAATAATGTACTGTATAGCCACTGATCTGAAAGTGACTCTTTTTCTTTTGTCTTTTTTTTTTTTTCCACCTGAGAGATGAATAGCTTAAATCCAATGGTCACAACTATAAACTGGTTGGTCAGGGAGAGTGAATTTTGGAATTAGTGCTGTATAGATTATTAATGGACTAGATGGAATTAAAAAATGTAACTAGGATTCAGTTTCATCACAATGCTTCAAGGTCCACATGCCGAAGGTCTGGATATTTGGTCTAAAAAAAGAAAAGAAAAATCAGAAAAGTGGGATTTGTATTAAAAGGTTCAAATTACTTTTAATATGAGGAGAACTGGCATTATTTTCACAAAAATATCTCCATTAAAACTGTTTTTCTACTATACAACAGTATGACTGGAATTTCAAGCTAACCAAGATTAGTAGTTTTCTATCATCTCCTTTCAGCTTCTTTTAAACTTTTAATACCTGAATTTTAATTTTATTAATAAATTTGGGAGTATATTTACTCAATTTGAAAATCTTTTGCTAGTAATAAATATATCAGAATCCAAAGAAGATATTACAAGAATTTATCAAACTTGAATAAAAGCCAACAGGAATCCAATGCTTTGTACAGAATTTTATCAGCATTTTAAGTACCTAACATAGTTGAGTAAATACAACAAAGGTTTTATCATGAATTAATTGAAACCAGTAAAATACACAGGACTAAAGAGATAGTCATCATAGTAGTGAAATAAGAAAACTACCTGATCAGTTATAGTCACTAAAGAATTAATGTACTGAATTATAAATAATGACTAAGTGGATTTAATGATCTTCATTACAACTGATTAGTAAATTTTTAGCTTTCTTTTAAAAAAAAATAAATGAATAAATAATTTTTATCACTTTAGACATTATTTTTAGTGGATGCCCATATTTGAGTAGATGTTCCGTTTACTTTAAACAGTATATTTATTTTCATCTACCAGCCCAAATATTTGAGAAATCTTATTAAAGGAAAAGATGCACTCTTCAGCAGGATTCAATCCTGTGTCACCCTTTGCAGGAAAAACCGTCATTAGGACCCACATGCTTTTAACCAATTTGGCTACAATAGGGCACTGAATATTCAGGTCAATAAACAAAAAATAAATGATATTTAAAATAAATAGAGCATCTATACAAATATGGGTATCCACTAAAAACAATGTTTAAAGTTATAAAAATGTGTCAGATTAATAAATAAAAAATCCATTACTTCTTTAGAAATTGTTTTGTATATATTTCAGAGACAAAACTGAGCAGATATGAACTTTCGAGAATCTGAGACTAGAAGGATTGTGCTTAAAGGCAGTATTCAGTCTTGTTTGATTGGCAACACTCTTCATGGCCAAGCCAGTTAAAAACACATTGGATTTAATGACGGTTTCCCCTACAAAGGGGAACGTAGGTTTGAATCCTACCAGGGAACACATCTTTTTCTTTAATAAGATTTCTCAAATATTCAGTTGGTAGTTAAAAATAAATATACTGTTTAAAATCAACAGGGTATCTACTCAAATATGGGTAGACACTAAAAATAACATTTAAAGTGATAAAATCTCTCAGCTTAATAAATCTTCTTTAGAAATGAATAAATAAATATAAATCTTTAGAACTGAATAAATAAATAAAAATAAGTAAATTCAGATAAAGCTAACATTGTATATAGTTGATTAGGAATAATTTCCTCATCTTTGTTGTGTTCTGGAATATCATAAAATCTTATTCTGAAATGACCTTCCAGACTATAACAGAAACCTAAGGTAATTCAGAGGGTACATGAAGGAAAATTTCATGAAAATGCAAAAATTGAGAGGATTATTCCAAGCCAATACATCATTTAACAAAATTCAGAAAAGACTTGAGAAAATTTATTATAGAGAAAAAAATGTTATGTAGAAAACCTGTTCAATATTTTCTGTTGGATGGCCACCCCCAACACCCTTCATCACCTGCAACTAATAAATGATAACCAAGTTAATACAATTTTATTCTGGAAACATAGTAAAGTAACTATGCTAGACTATTTAAACTCTGAATTATTTACAACAGTAATTTTCATTGTGGACAGAAAGATGTTGCAAAATCTCAAGAGGGCAGTAAATGTACAGAAGCATTTGGTGAGGTTATAATTTTAACAAGATGATTTAATCCTTTGAATCCAGATTAAGCATTTGATATATGCATTTACTTATATTTTTTGCTTATATATTTACATTTTATGCATATTTTGATGCAAATTCAACTTTATCCGGGTGTGGGGGGGAACATCATCCCTACACAAATATCTGAAAAGGAATGCTGAGGAAGAAAAAGTTAAGAACCACTGGTTTGTAGCAATAGAAACTAACACCAACACAGTAGTAAATAAGTCAAATGTTATCTATCTACTAATATTATAATATTGCTTAACTACTCCATTAATTAGATTTTTCCAGAAGTTTTTTTTTTTGTACTTGAATCAGCTTAAGATAAATATAATTTTTGTCTCACTTAATTCTTTCATCTCATATAAGTGCAGAAAATACATGCCTACCTTCAATGATTTCTCAATTCTGTCCACTTCTTCACCTAAGGTGTCTATAATTCTTTCTCCATGAAGCAACATAAAAATTTCAGCATCTTCAAGTTTCTTCAAGTTTTGCATTTCCTGACAAAAGAATTTAAATGCATAGACTACATTTTCTGTCAATACAAAAACAATGCCAATGCTGAAATTTTAGCATAAAAATCTTTTTTTTTTTAAATCTAATACTGAATCACAAAGTTCTGATATTATTTGTACTTAACTCTTTATAAAGAAACCAAACATAAATTTTCTTTAAACATTAACATTTAATCTCACAAGAATTTAGACTCTTCATTTGTTTGAAATTACCTCCTTTACTAGAAATCCATTCAACTTCAAACAAGGTACACCCATGTATTTTTTAAAATATATTTACAGGATTTAATGACAATATTTCAAGCTATTTCCAAATATTGATACTTTCACACTACTTCAAAGAAAAGGTTAGGTAAAAAACCCCATCAACACTGGAAAGAGTAATCACAGACTTGAGAATCCTATTTTCCTGAAAAATGGTTTTAAGAGAAATATTTTATAAATTTCAACTGACTGCAGTACTTGCTGCTTGGACAATGAATGCCAAATGTTTCCTTATAAGGAAATGGCTAATATTACCATTACTATTCAACAGTCTTAATGCCTATTTAATGTTACTTCATGACCTTATACAATTCATAGGAGATTTATGCTCATGGTTTTGTCTACATAAGCAAGTGTAAAAACATGGCTGTTCAAATATCCTTTTTTGGAGATACAGTAAAGTTAATTAGACAATGTTTCAGTGCTTTTCTTATGTTTTGCTTGAGACATTTAAATAAGAGTTCTATTTAATACTTCACTGATATAGAACATGTTTCAAAAGAAAATAGAAGAGATGTCTCTGAAGAAGAGAGTTTAATATTAAAAGATTATCAACATTTATTCTTGTTTTGGATATTGCTGCCACATCTGGTCTGGTGCTCCTGTTATATATTTAGAGATTCTGGATAAAATCAAAAAAATCTGCAATGTTATTGGTCCTGATATCTCAGTTTCAGTCCCTTTCCCACCACTGTAACAGCTTCCCTGCGCATTTTCTATAAATAGTTTCATGGTAATTGTTCTGATGATATCTAGACTTTACTAATTTAAGTGCAGTGCTAGATTGTTGTCAAGGTCTCATCATTTTATACTTGAAATTGCTAGATGTAACCATAATTTCTATTCTAACAGTTTCTTCTCTCTCACTTCACACTTGTGGAACTCTCTTCCAGCTTCTTGTTTCCCAGTCAACTTTGATTTTCAAAAACTTAAATGCAATGTCATTCATTATCTTCTGTCTTCTTAATTCTAGTTTTTTTTTTTATTGTTCTCTCTCCTTAATAGTAGTGTTTCTCATTCTCTAACACTCAGTAACCCATTGTGTCCGAGTGGCTTTATTGCCTTGCTTGGGATGAAATGGTTAAAAAAAAAAAAAAAACAATCAAAAAATGTTAGAATAAAACAAGGAGGGAAAAGCATGTTTCAATGAAAGCAGATATACACTGGAAGACAAAACTGAGATAACAGACCACCAGATTTGACAAGCAAAACAAAGTGTATATTTTATAGAATATGAAAATCATGCTATTTAGACAAGATTTATTGCTATTTTGAATTACTTATTAAAAAATACCACTTCAAGAAGTCTAATGTAAAGTTCAGTGAAATACTAATAGTATTCAGTCAATTCCAAAATTGTAGTGTATTGGAAAGTGAAGATACTGCCAGAATCTAACAATTGTCTGGTCTTGCTATCTCCACCCACAAAGAATGAAGTTTTATTAACTACTACTGCTATGGAAATGCTAACTATTGGTAAAGAGAACAACTTTTCTCATCTCTACAAGGACATTCTGAAACTAAATATGGTCATTATTTCATATATTTTTGAATATTTTCTTAAGCTTTATTATTTCTTATTATATTTTTAGCTGATCTATTCAATTATTTAACATACAAAGATAGATCAAGTAAGATAATGTTGAAAAAGGAACTACAAAAAATAAGAGTAGTGAGTATCTAATTTTTATATAAAGTATGACAAACAGAACCATTGGTAACTAACAGCCTCACCATTGACTTATATCTACAAGTATGAAATCAGGATAATTTACATTTAATTATTGAGCAACTGAAGATTACAAAATTAGTTTATAAATATCTTAGTAATTTTTTAATTTCATAACATCCAATAATACAATGTCATAATTAATAATTCTAATTTGAAACAATGTATTTATTCACCATTTCAAATTGTGTGTGTGTATATATATATATATATATATATATATATATATATATATATATATATACACACACACATACTGATCCTAGACAAATGGCCAGGTAGTAACACTTTGATCTTAAGCCAAGTGTTGGGAAGAAGCAGTTAAGCAGAAATACCTATCCGTAATCCAGTCATCTCTTGCAGGTATCATGCTAGCTAGTATATAAAATAAAAATTTATTAAGATTCTTGACAAATAATACTTCTATCTGCCATGTCCCTTCAGGACATAGGTGGTCATGGCTCTCCACAAGGTTCTCTCCTTTGTAGCTCTTAATAAATTTTGTCTTTTTGTTATCTTTCCTAAATCTTGCTCCACAATCCAATTTACACACACTCGCTAGGTAGTAGGCTATATATTGTTTTTCTCTGTCCCTCTTACCTACACCTAACTTTTTTAGGGCTTTTGAATGAGCTATGAATCATTGAAATCAAACCAGTAAGAGTGAAGGAGTTGCTTGAACACAAACACACACATACACTGCACTATATATATATATATATATATATATATATATATATATATATATATATATATAGCAGTAGAGCCGGCATTGCCGGGATGTAACAGTAAGAGATAGATCAAGTATCCACCATCATAAAGACTGAAAAATAAAATTGACAAAGATTATTGTTTAAGGTTGACGGACATACATGTCTTAATTATTTTTTTTTTTACGAATTGGTCAAACCCAAACAAAAACACTGTTTTCAATCGTTATGAGTCTACTAATTGAATAGAATTTTATTATAAACAATTGTCTTGTAAATGGAATTTTTAAAGCATTCTGAATGTAAAAATAAAGAAAAATGTGTGTAAGACAATAAGAAACACTACCTGCCAAAAAAAAAAAAAAGAAAAAAAAAGTGAAGTTTTGTTGAAATTGGTTGAAAAATGTAGGAAATCCGATCCCATATATAAACAAACACACACACAAACAACCTGGGTTTTATAATAAGTATAACTCGATATGAGTTGTTCCCCTTTCATTCTCGTGACAGTGATGCCTCTTAATCGTGTTTTCAAATTGATTTAGTCCAAAAACAATTGTGTTTTTCCAATTTTTGGTGCTGTCAGAACCACCACAAGGTAATTTTACATAGTCCTGTGAAGTTTTGTTGAAATCGGTTGAAAAATGTAGGAAATCCGATCCAATATATAAACGTACAGACACACACAATCTGCGTTTTATAATAAGTAAGATTCAAATTTATAATATATGCATGTTATAAGATCATTACAAAAGTTGCAATTTTGTTTTGACACTTCTGGTGTCTTGTCAAGTGATGATATTGAATGGTAAATAAACAATTTTAAGAGTTCAAAAACCAATCAAACACACTCAGAAGGGGAACATTGTTACATAAATAAATATTATTAGCTCTACTCGGTATTGAGCACTCTTTTAAGAATAGTGTTTTTGGCTATTGGAATTTTATTCCATCTGTACCAACTCTGTACTTGGATATATATATTATTTACATTAAGATATGCTTCGAGCAGATATGAGTATTTGAGAGAAATCATGGGAAATTTGTAGTTTAAAAGCAGTAATTCAACCTTGCTAACCAGAGCTTCCTCTGTAGCTAAATGGTATAGAATTTCAGGCTATATGACCATTCCATGTAGGATACAGGTTTAATTCTTGTCAGAGGAAACACATTATCTGTGAAATTTCTGACATTCAGGCCAGTAAATGTTGTTAATACTGTTTATTATAAACAGAGCATTTACTTAAATATTTGTATCTATAAAAATAATGTATAAACAATAAATATATTAAAATAAATAAAAAAGAAAAGAAATTATGTAGGTCAAGCATAGAAGAGATATATCTTTCCCAGAAGCAAAGAAAAATGTTATACCTGTCAATGTACTTCAGAAAACAAAACCCAATTAGCAGCAATAATAACAAAAACAGACAAATATATAGCACTCATTGAGAAGTTGGTTCAACTAGAACCAAATAACTGGTCAAAGTTCCAAGAACTTCTAAGAACATGCACAGCTGAAAGCTGCCAAACAGAAATAGTAAATAAATTGGAAGAGCCCATTTCAAACTCGTATACTATGGCTTAAATAATAAATATACAAAACAAAACCTCCACTTAAAGCAAACACCAGTAGACAAAATTCACAAAGATCACCAATCCTAGGGGATGTTAATAGCCACAATACTATCTGAGGATTCAACAAAAAAAAAAAAGGTCCGACCTCGGTATGACAATAAACTACATCCGTGTCCTGGGTAAGATGATAAACTACATCCAACAGCATGGCCTCTGATCAGGAGGTTTTGAGGAGCATGGAACCACCTCTTAATTGCTGGTGTTCCCAGGTCCACCCTGATCTAGGATGGTAGTTCCTGTTAGGGTTCCAGCTATGGGCAAACTGGGGTCAAAACACTATGAAAGTGTAAAAAAAATTATTACCAGCAATAAATTTTTGAAGAAAAAAATTATTACTAGTGATACATTTTTGTAAAAAAAAAAAAAAATATTACCAGCAATAGATTTTTTTAAAGGAAAAGAATATTGCCAACAACCAGCCTCACTCACACGAAATTGTAGTGGGAATGCCAATTTAGTCGCCAACCACCCAACAATAGCATGCATACATACATACATACATACATACCCTTACACACACCTATATTGTGAGTGTATGTGATTTAACTTAATTAAAGTGCTTAACAATATTGTTGTCTTTTTTTAAATTCAAAGTAACTTTTTTCTCGAGTTAATAGTGAAAGAGAAATATATCTATTAGTATTCACCATTTGATTTTTCAATCAGAACCAAAAAGTTTTATAGAAAATAATCAAAAACTTGAATTTAAAAATAAAAATTGATATCGTTTTTTTCCCAGCCCTTCGTGCATATTGATGGGGAGGTGACATTATATATATATATATATATATATGTGTGTGTGTGTGAATGTAAATTACTTTTTTTTTTTTTTTTTTTAAATAAAACATATCAGTAACAAGTCACATCCAAAAACAAAATGCGATTCTAAACAATATTATGAAAATTAAATGGTGGATAGAGATATCCCGCTCTCTATTAACTCGAGAAAGTCAACCAATACTAGACAAGTGAAATATTCTACTTTACAAAATTTCTAAAATATGTCAAGTCATTAGCTAGTGATAGCCCACAAAAAATTATTCCAAAGTTTACCTTGGAAAAATCTTTTATGCATTCAGCTTATACATTACATAATTGTTTCTCTGTGAAAAATATAAAAAATATAAAACCTATTTAATGACTGATGATTAATTATTATTATGCAAATATTATTCAAATATAACCGGAACTGCACAATTAAAAAAAAAAAAAAACGAATGTGAAGGTCACAGAGATTGCAAAAAATTAGCCATGGGCCACAGCAGTAAATTTTGAGAGTAAATTACTGATTATTAGTGAGATAGTAACAGATATATACAGAGAAGAATATTAAAAAAAAATTCTTTCTTTTTCTTTGAAAAGCAAAAAGGATTAATTAGATAGAAAGAGGTGAAATATTGACTGAATAATGTCAGACTTCTGCAAAACTGAATTTTTCACATGCAACCAATCACCAAATTTATCCTCATAAACACAAAACAAATTTTGAAAACCTCACACAAGCCACACTGAGTCACGATGTGAGCCTGATGTAAATTATTGCAGAGAGGATCATAAATTTTCAAAACATTCACATTTGTCTTGAACAGCCACTGTTCTAGATCTTTTTGCATTAATGCAGGTATCCCCCAGGACTCTATCCTTGGATCTACATTGTTCTTAACTTTCATCAACAACCTTCCTGATATCATCAGTTCTCAATTCAGTATCTATACTGATGACTTAACTATTTACTCCTGTCTTAATGGTAAGTATGATTGGTTCAATAATGTCAAATTGGCAGTTGACCTACAATTTGTTATTAACTGGGACAAAAAATGATTTGTTAATTTTATATCTCCAAAAGAAAATGCTCTTTTAATCATCATAGAGAACCCTTTTGCCTTCCATCAGTATGGCTGATGCCAACATCCAGGAAAGTGACTTCTTGGGCTAACGTTTTCCATTAACATGAAGTGGAAAAATTATATTGAATCAATTGCTAAGTCTTCTGTTAGGAAAGTTGATACACTGTGTCATGCTAGACAATTTTTCTCACCAGAATCTATTTTATACATTTATACGTCTATCATTTATCCATGCATTGAATATTGCTGCCACATATGGTCTAGTGATTCTACTATATATTTAGAGATTATTGATAAAATACAAAAAATCTGCAATGTTATCAGTCCTGACCGGGTATCTGGTCACTTTTCCACCACCCCTATGCCTTTTCTATAAAGTCTCATCATTTTACAGTTGAATTGGCGAGATGTAACCATAAGGTCTATACTAACAGTTTCTTCTATCACACTTCTTATGTGACACTGAGGATATGAGGTGGTTAATATTTCTAAGCAGAAAAAGGTTAAGCCCAAAATAAAATATAAACTGATAGAGAGATAGAAAGAGAGAATGGAAGATATTTTCCCTGGTAATGAGGAAGTGAAAAAATGGCCATCTGGATTGCCTCACCCCTATGAATTGGAACAACACACCAAGAGTTTACTTTTTTTTTATCCATTGAAAATCTGGCATGTGGGTAAAGCAAATTGGGAAATGGATTTATCTCTTTCTTGGGAAATTAGAAAAACACATGTCATTGGCAAAAAGAGAAGCAGGCAGGAATTATATTTTTGTTAGCAAAAATGAATTGTGAAATGTAAACAGGATTATGAAAATTGATCCATCATAACAGACAAGTGATCTGGTTTATGTTTTCGTTAAGATGGCAACAGTCCCAAGGATTGAAAATAGTGTGTGTCTTTGTTGAGAATTTAGGTAAACAAATATATTTCCATTGATAAAAACAAATTGGGAAATAATTTTTATCTATTGCTCAGAAGTTTAAAATGAGAAGGTGATCTGGTTTGTATTTTCACTGGACAAGTTAGTCCAGGAAAAGAGTCAGAGAATTGAAATTAATGAGGAGAATAAACCATACCCTTTCTCCTAAGCACCTTAAAAATTAAATTTGCCAGCCCTGAGAAATGGGCAGAGTTAAAATACTAAGGAGGAAGGGGTAGAATTTGGTCCCACCTGTGTGGAATAGCAGTGCAAGATGTGAAGTGAAGCAGGTTGGCGTTAAGAGGGGAACAAACTCTGTGACTACTCCCAAAGGAGGAGGAGGATAATTCTCCAAATTTACAAAGTTGATTAAGAAAGCAGAAATAGAGAACAAAGAAAACATTTATTGGAATTAATGAAAATTGGAGAATCACCGAAGCCCCAGAACCCTTTTGCCCCATGCCAGTTTTGGGCCAAAGTGCATATAAGCAGATGACTTTGGGGAGCTCAGAGACTTAAGCTGAAAACCCGCATTGAGTGCCTCTGAAACCCATATCAGCTGCCACCAGATTTCCTGATTCCAAAACTTTGAACCCAGCTCCTTCAGAAACTTAGACAAGGCCCAATGTCACTATAGAGATTGATGCGAGAAGGGTCAATTTTTGTTGTACCAAGAGCTATATAAATCAAGTGAAGATTAACCCCATGAATCTTTCATTTTATTTTTCAACATGAAGATATTTTTTTTCCTTAATATAGCACCTGCCACAGCTTGAACCAGCACTGTGAGACAATGACCTTCGATTTTCCACTGCTCCGAGATCATGAACACAATGTGGGCAGAGTTGGTGTGGATTCAAATGGTCAGCAACCAACAACCAGCTTGGACCAGCATCATCATTGACCAGTCCAGAATAAGCCTCATGGTTAACATGTCATTCTAAGACACTGAGGACCAGACCATAAAACTATGGTCACACCACTGGGTTTAGGCAGTGGCAAAAGGTGTTATACTTGCTTGTGGAACTCTTTCAGCTTCTTGCTTTCCAGTTAACATCGATCTTCAAAAATTTAAATGCAATGTTAACATTACCTTTTGTATCTTTAATTCCTATTCTTTTATTGTTCACTCACCTTAATAGTGTTTTTCTTTTTCTTTGTTCTTTCACATTCAGTAAACCCCTGCATCTCAATGGTTTTATTGCCTTGCATAGGGGGAAATGATTAAAAAAAAACATGGACCTATTTGCATGTTTGAAAAATCTGTTATCAAATGTGAATAAATTTTCCACTTACAGATAAAAGATTTTCAAGGTCCACTTTGAGAAGATAAGCTCTTGTGATCTCCAATCCATCAAAATCTACTTCAGCCTTGAATCGAACTTCACCACCAACTTCTGTGGCTTTTACATCATGTAGAGACCTAGAAAAAGAAATATACTTCAATCTGTGGTGAATACAAAATAAAAATAACTCTTTTCACCATGGTTTTCAAATTTGCAAGCCTGTGCAAAAATTTATTTTGAACAATACAAAAAGGGATTGGGTTTGAGCTGAAGAAAAGACTAAGGCAAAGTTTAACGAGCATATGTGAAAATTTATTTTGACCAATGGAAAAGGGAGCATCTTACAAACTGAGAAAAAAGTAACGAGCCAATGTGAAATCGCTTTTTGATATAAATAGGCAGAGAAAGTGGAATCAAAGCAGAGAGAGAGAAAAAGCAAAAAGAAGCAGAGTTCCATGTGTCTGAATAATACCTGTGTCAAATTACATACCGATACATTATCAGGCTCTAATGAGAGCAGGGCAATTTCAAAGAACTCTATTCAACTCCAGAGCTAAGTACATTAAAATATATCTTTTCATTCATGTTGAATACAACCATATAACTTTTATGTGAAAATGAACTCTCTCAATTTGTTTTAAACATTTTGGAATATTACTTTGTGTCCGACGATTTAATATGAACATTTTCTCTTCTTGACAAATCATTGAAACTAGAAACTTTAAATATTTGATTCCTTTTCCTGAAACAAACCACTGACAACTTCAAATGTGTAAATTTGTAAATAAATTCCTTACCTTGTTTTGTTAAATATAACACATGTTTCCTCATCAATACTTCAAACCCACTAATTAGTAGTGTAATTAGAAATTGACTGAAGTTAATGTCTGAACTAAAATACATTTACAACTTGAACATCTGTTATCTTTCTCTAAAATACTTAGAATTAATTTGCAGAATACTCAGTGTTTCTGGTTTAATTCAGACAGCAAACCTATATATGTTCATAACATTAACTCCTCCATCAGATATCAAATTTATTAGAATAACATTAGTTGATATTATCCTGTACAAACAATGTTAAAAATTACTGTTATGTGCCTTTTAATTCATTGACTATCTTTGATATCCTGAAACTTACTTATAGATGCTTTTTTTTAAAAATAATTTTGCACAAAAATACAATCCAAGTTTTCAGAACTATTTGAAAAATAAATTATCAGTATTTGACGGCAATTTTAAGATTTAAGCAAACTGAAATGTTTTCAGTCAAACTCTCTATCATTTTATAGACTGAAAGTTTTATAGAAAATAAATCCCTGTATAATGACTTTAAAAGTACTTTTTAAAGTATGGTTATTTTTTAACTATTAAATTTTTAGTTTTGAATTGTTATATTATTGAATATCAAAAGGAAACTACACCTTCTCTAAAGGAAACTCAGCATTACACAACACAGAAGTTTTCGTCTCAGGTATTTCAATCATTCTTTCATTATCTATTATAAAGCAAACCAGACAAGTGGATATTCTAATAAGTATTTAAAGAAATAAAAATCAGTCCAAACAAATTTCAGAATCATTTTGAATAAATGTAAAAATATGAACATATTAAATAAGTTTTTTTCATGAGCATATAAATACTTTATCGGTTGTTATGTAGAAAGTCATACTTGTAAATTGAACACATGCTTTCTCCAACCATGATAAACATTTATTTTCCACACTTAAGCATTTATTCACAATACAGATTCACAAAAGACTCTTACCTGATCATGCGGTCTTTTTCCAGTTCTTGGCTAATTAATGCCTTCTTTTCTAAAGGTATAGACCTGAAATACATTTGAAGAGTTTACCAATTTTTTTTTAAACATCTATATTTAACTCCATATTATATAAAACTGTGTTTTTTTTATTAAATATTAGTACTCAAGACAAACTGTAAATGAAAATATAATTAATTCAATTAAGAATTAAATTCTGAATTATTCAGTATCTAAATTAAAAAGGTTATAGTCATCTATAAAGAAGTAGAATTATTTTGTAAGGTATCTAAAACATAAAATTACATTTATGTAAGATCAAAAGTAAAAAGGCAATTGGGAATATAGACCAAGTCAAAATCAATCATTTATACTTCAAAATTATTGAGAAAAAATATCTGCTTTTATGGCATAAACAACTTTATTTTTTAATATAAAATTGATTATTATTTTTGAGAAACTGGAAAGGTAAATTGATTATACAGTGTAACCCGAATATAAGAGAGTTGTCGGGACCGGAGAAGAAGTCTCTTATATCTGGGGTTTCTCTTATATCCGGGTTTGGTCTATTTTGTTTAGGTAAGTATGGGCTCTAATTTGGGACCAGAGAAAATCTCTCTTATATCCGGGTTTCTCTTATATCCGGGTTACACTGTAGTAATAATTCTAGGCCTGTGAAAGATAAACGGAGGATAAATTCAAATTTTAACAATTAAGCAATTGTTAAGTAAGATAATTTCAGAAATATGAACTGAAAGATAAAATAGAATTCACCAATTTTGGTAACTATATAACATGTGCACATACATAAATACAGGTTTGTGCCAAAGCTTTGGTAAAAATAGTCATTCTTAATTGAATCAATATCAAGCATAAATCTGAGTTTTAAAACTTAAAGAATATTTTGCAAAATCTACAATAATAAAGTGCAACAAACATTCTCAATGCTTTTAAGCTGGTTATTGTTTGCAATGAAAAAGTTAAAACAAAGATGGTCAATGTTTATTGATTTCTATCAAAAGGAGTCAAATTTAGATTTAAAATGTTTTACCTTTAAATATATCAACACGATTTTTTCCCCAAAGTAAGTATTAGTCTTACAAATGCATTTTTTCACTTATTGATTACATTAACAAAAGAATAAAAGCTAAAAAGCAAAAGCTGAAAATTGATACAGTTATCATTCTTTCTAGTATTGATGGGGGTTTCCTTACTATCTTTTATTTGAAGTAGTGTAGAATGTTAACGTCTTGATTATGTCATTATTTTCTCTGAGTTACATGTGCTATCCATTTTAGTTGTTGCTGCTATGGGTAGACCTCAATCATTTTTTTTAATCATTTCATAACAAACAAGGCAATAAAACTACTAAGTACACAAGGGATTACTGAGTGTTACAGAATATGAGAAAAACTACTATTAAGGAGAGAAGACAGTAAAAGAACAAGAATTAAGAAGATAACAATTGACATTGCATTTAAATAATTGAAGATCAAAGTTGACTGGGAAGCAAGAAGCCAGAAGGAAGTTACACAAGCAAGAAGGGCAATATAAGAAACTGTAAGCATAGAACTTACAGTTACATCTAGCCACTTCAACTGTAAATTTGAGACCTTGCTGCCAATCTAGTACTGCACTTAAATTCATAAAGTCTAAGTACCATAGAGGAAAGTTCATCAGAACAATTACCATAAAATTATTTATAGAAAAGAGACAGGGAAGCTATGTTACAGTGGTAGGAAAGGGACTGAAGTTGAGATGCCAGCTCAGGACCAATAACATTGCAGATTCTTATTTGTATTTTATCAAGAATCTCTAAATATATAGCAGGAGCACCAGACCAGATGTAGTTTCTGTTATTTAGTAATTCTCTGTTTATAAATATGTAGCACCAATCCACAATGTTCAAAGAGAGATGATCTTTGTCAAGGCCCTCATGTTTTACTCATTCAAAGCCTTTTTTCACCATAGATTTTAGGAAATGAGTGTATACAGCTGACAGTTTATATATTTCTGAACTGGTTTGGCAACATGCATGACATCCATACAAAAGTCTCAATCTACCAAGGATATTTAAGAACATGACTCGAGTTTTCAGGTTGATATTTTGGTTTTGTAGCAAATTGCAATGCTGTGTGAAACTACCTCTGACACATATGTTCAATTTCCTTTTCTCTTATACTTAATTATAATTGATCCATATTTAATTTGTTATAACTGATCCATACTCTGAGTATCTGAAGTGTTTATTATTTACTAATTTCAAATCCAGAATTTTTATGATGGATTAAGTGGATGTGACATCACTGCTTTCATTCCAAATCCAGATAAAAGGTTTATCTTGAGTCCTATTTCTTGGAACACTCGGTAGGTGGATGTTGATTTTCTGTTCAAAATCATTCTTATCCCAAATATGAATGCACATATCATCAGCATAGCCCCCCTTTCATCATCAGTACATTGGCCTCAGGAGATCATTATCTTCTATTGGTAGACCCATTTAGAATGTGGTATGGAATCTTTAAATGGTTAGTACCAACCTCAAAACAACTGTGTTTGTAAATACACAGGGCACAGTCTAAGAAGAGCATACTCCTGATGAGGTTTCAAATGTTTCTGCATTAGGGTCCTTGCCAGATATGTACAATTCTGTAGATCGATACAGTTCCTCTATTATATCGTTACAATTAGTGGATTCGGAGCTTGGAAGGCAGTTTCTAATGGATGAGAAGAGGAAGTCTCTACTGATGTGGTCATATGCTGCTGTAAGATTTGACAAAGCAGGTATACAGTTTCCTAATAAAGAAGTAAGCAATTTCTTGGAATTGTTTGATGACATATGCCATCATTGCAGCCCTTACCAGAATGAAAACCAAACTGGGTCATGAGGAGCTGACTTTCCTAAAGCAATGAAAGCTTAATTAATATAATATTCATTAATACTTTCACCATGCTATAAAATAAATTTTAAGCACTTGTACAGGTCTATTCAGAATGAGTTATGCAATCTGCAAAGCAAATAAAAATAACCAAAAATTTCAAAATTAAAGTACTTTTATAATATAATAATAACCGAAAAAAAACAAACAAGAATAATAATTGAGAATAATTATAGTAATAATAAAATATACTCTTACAAATAAAAATAGGTTTTATTAATTTAGTAAAAAATTTTTAAAAAAGTGGTTCTTACTTTCCAACTAAGACTTCTGTGTTGCTGTAGATAATAAAACTGGCTACACTTCCTAAGATGCCACCTACCAGCAGAGACCCGACAGCATCTGCAAAAGGGTTGCCAGTGTAGTGAGTGACTGCCAAACAGGAAGCAGCAATACTCACACCAAAAACTGCTGCTAGATCTTCCAGAAGAACTACACTTACATTTGGATCATTACCTCGGTTTACTACAAGCAGAAAAGAATAAATTCAAAATTACTTGAATGTCTCTAAAATTGGAAATAAAAAATTAATTTTTTAATTTATAAATCATTTTAAGATATCAAAAGTCAATATAAAAAAAGCACACATTTTTCATATATAAATACTAAAAAGTACCACAAGATAATTTTTACAATTTTTTTTTTTTTAAATAGCTAAATTCATAATTCAAAAAGCACCTCAAGGGGGAGCAATGGTTAGCAAATTTAATCTGTAATAATAAAAACAAAAATGGAGTCATTAGACTAACAGAAAAAAAATATGCTACATACTCACCCAAGAAATTTAGACCCCACCCTCAAAAAAAAAAAAAAAAAAAAAAAAATGTCTAGTGTGGTTGAGCATTACTACTGGATAGTGAGTTTTATCTGAGGACCCTATACAAAATACAACAGAAAATAACCCAACAAATGTTGGCATGTTAAAAAAAAAAAAAAAATCATCACCCAACATAATACATTTAAAGCAATAGGAAATTCTCAGATGCTAGGGGGGATAATGTTCATGTATTTTCCCCAATCTCATTTTAAAGATGCTGCCAATCATTTACGAGATGATAGATATATAGGGGTAGAGTCTCTAACTGATTCCAAATTGGTCAAGTTTTGATCCCGGCTTGAAGCAATCAGAGGCCTAGCCACACTGATGAGCTGTGATACAGGGAAACAGTTTCTATGTGGATGACAACACTCTCGTTCACCAATTGAGCATGATGGAGAAAGGTAATTTTTAACAGCTGCTGCTTAACACGCCACTTCTCATCAGAATTGAGCACTGGTTAAGTGTTTATATATATCACATATATAATACATTAAAAGATTCCCTTTCTCTACTGTGAGGTGAATGCTTCAGGGTAGAGTCTCTGACTGATGCCAAATCGGTCAAGTTTTGATCCTGGCTTGAAGCAATTGGATGTCTAGCCACACTGATGAGCTGTGATACAGTCTGTATGTGGATGAGATATATATTAATCTGATGAAGTCCTAATGGATGAAATGTTTCACAAAAATTTTTTCCAATTTGTCTTTTCTTTCAAAACTGTTCTTGATATAAAACTTATACCATTATCCCATACACACACACACACACATATATATATTCTATAATAAAATGCCTAAATGGAAAAATATTTAAGCCTGATTAAGCCCTTTTAAATGCATTACAAATCTTTGTCATTGTTATATATATATATATATATATATATATGTGTGTGTGTGTGAGATGTATTTTTTGTATGTAATGTCTAGATTTTTGCTGTAACACACATCTTCTTCATATTGTGATGCCAATTTGAATGACTTTGTTATGACAATAACAGACTGTTCTAAGATAGGAATCTGAGAAGTGAAAAATAAAACCCATTGTCAATGAATGTATCACAACAGCGATAATTGAAAAAATATATATAAAGACTCAAATGTGAAAACCTAATAGTAGTAAAAACTTGCAATGGAAAAGTAAAATATCTTACACTGCTTCTCAAAAAGATACAACAGCAATAATGGAAATAAAGGAAAAATATAATACCAATACTGCAAATAAACAAACATTCTGCCAAATGCAATTTATATAACAAATGCCAATGTTAGTGTGTCACTCTTTTTCAATTAAAGGGACACAACTCTTTAACTTTCAATAGCTCATGTTACAAAAATTTTGGATTCCCAAGTTTTCATTACTGCAATTTTTTTTATGTGATTTTTTGTGACAAATTTTTTTGTATAATAACAATTTTATAACTTGGAAATAAATTTGAGAAGAATGGAAATTAAATTCAGTGAAAATCACCCATGAATTAAAAATACCTGTTTGTATGGAAAGTAAGTACCTACACACATCAAATTGTCTTTAAATTAAGTAGCAGAAGAAGAATTATCATTGAACTTTTAAAAGATGTTTAGTTATTAATGCAATACTTAAATGCAGCAATCAATTTTGAGTTCTGTAGTTTATTGTTGCCTATTGCATACGGCAGCAATATGCCTTACAAAAAATCTCCGCCAACAGAGGACCAGATTGCAATCCAAAGAGCCAAGGTTGCAGCAAGGAAAAGAAAGTCCCATGCAAATGAAGACCCAGATCAAATGGCAGCCAGGAGAGGTTCCAATGCTAAGATTATGTAAAGACTTAGGGACTCGCAAACTCCTGAACAAGAGCCCTCCATCGGAACTAGCTTAAATACTGCCCGATTAGGCGACTTTTAAGCTAGTATTACATAACTATGCATAATTATCATAATTACTTCCCACTATTCTTTAGCACTACAATAATTTTCTTTCTACATAACTTGAATCCAAGGTGAAAGTTGGTTATAGTAAAGAAACAAATTAGACACTGGTTTGGAGAAATGACCAAAGATTTATTCTCATTTACAAAATATGAAAATGTCTCTGGTAAGTCATATAGTGCAGCATTCGAATGTACAGTGTATGTGGTGTAAGAGTGTGAAAAAGGAATATACTTAAACTGGCTGACTGCTTTTTGGCTATCAGTCTGGTCTTGTCAAATTGATAGTAGAGTCTCTTTCCGTGTTTACAAGAGGTTGTTTTCACAGCTTAATGATAGGATGAGCAGTCAACCATACTCTTAAGTAGCATCTATGGTTAGCGTACACACACGTGTGTGTGTATGAAGTCACTCTCTCTCTCACTCTCCACTCCTCTGTCCAGCTTCTTTTATAGCCAATATAAAGGAAATGCACAGATGTAATTGTAGACATCTGTGGCAAGTGAGAGTTGTGTCAATAATGGCCAGCACTCCGGTATATTTATGTTTGTTTTAAAATTTGTTTTGAGTAGAGTGTAGCATGTGTGCGACTTAGCTAGATGAAAATTGGTGTGGGGTTAGAGATATGTTTTCTAATAATTGTATAAATTTGGCTTTAATTTGCTATCTCTATGTGTAAATTGTTTTTCTGCTATAACTTCAATCACAGTTTATAATTTAAAATTGCTTTGAATCTAACAAATTCTTAGTGATCTTTAGTTTCATATTCTGTCAATCTAAAATTGCTACCGAAAAGATAAAGTTGGTATTTCTAATAATACTAAGAAAAAACACATTTTTTAAGTAATTATTTATGAGATTATAAAAGTTTTATTGATTTTTAAGCAACAAAATGAATTTATTTTGTTTTCGTAAGATTTATTTTTGTAAGAGAGTTGGATATTAAATTTTTCATATTCATGCCCATAATGTAAAATATCTAACAACTATTATGTAAACTGATGTATAAACATAGTTAAACATTAGCCCAGATAATTGGTCTTAAATTAATAATCCTATTTATCAGACATTTTCAAATATTTTCACAAGCCAATAAAAATTATCAAAAATAAACAAAAAGTAACATTTTTAGTGGTCTTGCTGAAAGTAGACTATTCCCAATGATCATTGTTGACATTCCATGAGCCATATTTGTTCTGATTTGTAATAAGGATAGCATTTGATCTACCACTGTTTCTCCTTTAATGTGTTGAGCTTTTGGTAAGCATCTATATTACATAACTGTACAGGACATTGTTTCTGAGTAGGGAAATGTTCATTTAACCACTATTGCCAATATCAAAGCACCACTCAGACATATCACATTCAACATGTGCAGCAATTCTCTAATCTGTTTTAGTACCTATTGAAGGCCCACAATTCAACTTTTTTCAAACAGCTCTAATTAAAACAGAAGCATGTGTACATCTCCATGGCATGACACCACATTAAACCTAATGACAGCATAGTTCACTACCTAAAGTTCAATGCAGACAGGGCACTGATACAAGTGATTCAATGTCACAAAATGACCCAAAAATTTAAAAATTTTATCAGAATATCTACTAATCACTAGCATGGAAGTACTGTACACAGGTCAAATTGTGTGTGTGTGTGTGTGTGTGTGTGTGTGTGTGTGTATAAGGGGAGTGCTGAAAAGGTTTCAAGCAACCTAAACAAAAAGGGATTTAAAAAAAGCAATCCGATGCTTGGTCATTTCATCAGATTTTGAAAAAGAGAGACCAAGAAATTTTCAGCACAAACACAATATATATATATATATATATATATATATATATATATATATATATATATATATATGGGGGGTATGAAACATTCTTTTAGATATTATTTTAGGCTGCTAAAATTTAAGCAAATGAAAGAATACCAAATACATTGAAAATGTACAAACATTTTTTTCTATAAACCTATAACACTTGTTCTGAAATATTATATAAACATAATTTTATATTGTCAGTATTTCATAAAGTTGAAATAACAATGACCACTAATTTACTATTTCTCTTCTATATTTAACAATCCCTACTACCAATTGTAACAAAACTAAATATTGCTGTTAATAGATAATACTCTTGAAGAAAAAAACAAACCCAACCGGCTTTACACCCTGAACTATGATAATACATTTTCATAGTTATCCAACAAAAATGTTTGATATTACTATTTAATCTTCTTTATTTTTGTCACTCAGAAAGTAACCCAACTTCTTAAGGGGAAAAAGGCATCCTATATTCATGTCTGACAATTATCTACAAACTAATATTTTAATCTCATGAATTATCAACTTACCATATTCCCAAAATTTCATGTTCTTTGCTCTAGAACTTCTCCTGACTTCAGCAATGGCAACAATTAATGTGGCTGTTTAAGAAGAGGAGAGAAAAAAAAATTTAATAGTTTTTACACCAGCAAAGAACCAACACAAAAAAATATCATAATTAAACTTCTCTGGTAAACATATACATTTGCAAATGAATCGGTGACATATTCAACATGTTTATGAGTAAACAATATAAATACATTCATGATGCACAAAGTAATCCATGATGAATACAAATGAATTTGATGGCATATAAGACCTAACTTTCAGTGACATTTAATATGACAGTATTATAGACTTAGGTTTTTTTATAAGTCTACCATTCATCTATGCTTTGAATATTGCTGCCACATCTGGTCTGCTGCTTCTGCTATATATTTAGAGATTCTTGATAAAATACAAAGAAGAATCTGCAATGGTATTTGTCCTGACATCTCAGCTTCAGTCACATTCCCTCCACTGTAACATAGCTTCCCTGTGTCTTTTCTATAAATACTTTCATGGTAATTGTTTTGAGGAACTTTAGTCTATGATACCTAGACTTTATGAATTTACATTATCATTATACACTTGAAATGACAAGATGTAACCGTAAGTTCTATGCTAAGTTTTTTTCTATCACACATCTTGATTTGTGGAACTCTCTTTCAGCTTCTTGCTTCCCAGTAAACTTTGATCTTCAAAAATTTATGCAATGTCAATTGTTATCTTCTGTCTTCTTAATACCTGTTCTTTTACTGTTCTCTCTCCTTAATAAATTTTTTTTTCTCATAGTTAGTAATGTTAGTGTGTTTTAGTGGCTTTATTGCCTTGCTTGGTAAGAAATGATGATAAAAAATATAGGTTAAGTACAACTACTGGTCTTCCGCAGCATCCTAGTAAACATTAGCCAGCTAGATATTGCACTTTTGCATTTAACAGGCAGGTCTTTTTTTTTAGGACACATTTGTAGTTTATACTGCAACTATGCTTAGTGGACCTTAGTTAAAGTTTATAATCTGTCATAATCAGCAGTTTGAACAACACCAGTATGCTCAAACCCTCTGTTGACGATGACTTGTGATTTCATGCTAGCACAAACATCAACAGCTTTTTTAAGTTCCATCTACCCAATTTAAATGTGGTGTGGTTTTCCAAATGTGTCGTGCTGGAAATCACTCCCCACCCCAGACCAATAACATCAAGAAGTAGACCCTGGTGAGATTTGAACCTGGTTTCATGGTTATAAATTGAGCATTCTAACCACACAACTACATTTTATTTTATTTTATATATATATATATATATATATATATATATATATATATATATATATACATACACACACACACACACATTTAGGTAGCAATCCATCTTTTATACAGGTTTCATTCAAGATGATTGACAAGGCACTGCGATTAAGCTTTTATATTTCTTTTTGGGACAGTGTGTCAGATCCAAAACATTTTTGGATCGAAGTGTTTTCAGATCATCTGTTAGACATTATCAAGGACGTTTTTTGTTTGTCTGAATATGTAGATTTTTTTTTTTATAGCAAAAAAAAAATATTCCCAAATATACTCAGCACATTGTGGATGTGTCATAATTGATATTATTATGAGTTGGTTTCTTCTATTTTTTGTTAAGTAATTTCTGCAGTTAGTTAAGTGGATTGTGTTGGGGTTTTCTATGAAACAGAAAATATATATATGTATATATATATATATATATATATATAAAATGTATGACTGGCAAAAGATATATGTTCATGCATATAACATTTAAAAATGTGCAGGCAGTGTAATGGTTACCAGCATAGAAAATGGAAAAAGTTCAAATTTTCGCCTAGTCTGTTGCATTCCCTTTACACTGCTGATTCTGGGAAAGGTATAAATTCATCTCTTCCCCCTATCTATAAGTTAAATATCAAGGTAAATAGAGTTCTCTAGCTTTGTTTGGCAGCCAATCTAAGAGAATGACTACTATGATGAATTTAAAGCCATAGAAAAAAACAACAGGAAACCAATCTTCTATCTTTACCAAGAAGTTATAGCAATTCACATATATTAAAGAAAAGGAAGCAATGTACAGCCTTGATTGTCTACATATGTTATTTAAATAAAATGCTGAAAAATTAGATATAACATGCTTGTATCCTAAAATTTATGTATAAAATTGGCTAAACAAGAAATCACAATAAAAATAAAAGAAATACTACAAAGCAACTACTAATTAACGAATAACATTATTCTACATTCGAAAAGTAGGTAACAACAAGTAGACAAAGAAAGCAAGCCAAGAATAAAAGCAGATTGAAATGAATCAGTGGGAAATTTTGGGTGTATGCCAAAATCACAAGGTTTTGCTTTCCATAGACAAAAACCATAGGTATAGTAATTGAGTGTATTGAAAGGAAGTTTGCTTGTTATTTAACTGCAAATATCCTGTTATTAGGGTCACAAAGAAAATAGCTCCCCAACCAAAGAGATAGAGAATACAAACAGAAAATTACTAACATACAAAAACAAGGACAACAATAATAGGAGTAAGAAACAGATATACTTACCACCTTCGGAAACCATAGTACCTAGTAAGGCAGCAATAGCCTACAGGTTAAAAAAGGAATTAAGAGACTATTAATAAAATCCGAATGAAGAACATTTAGTGCAATGAAAAAGAACCAATTTAATAAGATATTTTGATTGAAATTAACTAATTTCTTGCACCAATCATTAAGTTGGTCTATATTATTCTGCTTTATGAAGTTTCATTGTTTTGAAAGTTAAAAAGGATAGAAAAGGTTTTACTATATTCATTTTTTTAAAAAGGATATTTAACCAATTATTATTATTAATATAATTATTATCATAACTCATTAAAATAATGCTTGCAACTAAATTTATTTGAACAAATGCAAAATTTAAGCTTAAGCACAAGGTCCCATTGGCCAGGAGTGGGAGCCATCTTCCTTACAAAATATTTTCAAAATTCTTTTGAAATGCATTATAATATATCTCCATAAATTCAGCATAAGCCTTTGCACATATTAAGAACCTAAAATCAGGTTGATCTACTTAAACTTTTCAGATATAATGAATTTAAAAGCTGCTACATACGTGTAACTTGATAAATGGTGAAAACAATTGCAGCTTTTAGCAAGAAAAGCTTGTCTTTCAATATCAGAAAAGACATTGAATGATTCAGCATAAAATTTTACACAACATATTAAAAAAAATTATTGTATTGGTAAAAATCTCAAGTTTAGCAGCTAACAGCACTCAATAATAAATTCAGTCCACCATGTGTGATGTTTTCCTGTTGCATAACATTTAAAGCCAATCACATCATTTGTTTTTGCATATTCAAAACGAACAAGTTGAACAGCAGATGCAGAAGATTCACCCAGGAACATTCATCAGTAATACTTAGTACCAGTGGTACCCAAGAAGATTTTTAGTAACTCCAAGTACCAGTAGCACCCCAGAATCTTCATCCATGAATAGTCAGACACAACAAAGCTTAAAAAGCAAATCAAAGCAGAACAGGAATATGGGAGGTATGTACTTCAATGTGTGATGGCATTGATTTGTCTGCTGGCAGAATGTGGATTGGCTTTTAGAGATGATGAAACCATCAGCTTTATAAACAATGAAAACTTTCTCAGTTTTCTAGAATTGATTGCCAAATTTGATCCCTTCTTACATACCCACACAAACCAGTATGGGAATAAGGGACCTGACCGTCTATCATACCTATCTAAGTTCATATGTGAAGAAATTACTCAGCTAATGGCTAAAAAAAGTTCTTGAAGAAATAGTGAAAGATATCAAAGAATCAGGATACTAGATCAAGACATGAAGAAATGCATTCTGGGATACTGTCAGTTATCTGAAAAAATTCTTGTAGTTAAACTGAAAGGAAAACCTTTCAACATATCTATTATAATTGTGTATGACTGGACAGCACAGAGTACAAAAGAAGAAATCAAACCTTTCTACTCCATGCCAGACAATGCCAAGGCTCAGTGTAAATCACAAGTTATAATTATCAGGGGAGATCTGAATGCCAAAGCAGGCAAGGAGAGGGATGGGGAAATAACTGGCAATTTTGGACTAGGAACCCACAATGGATGTGGAGAAAAATGAGACCAATGGTGCATGGCCAATGACCAGGTTATAGTCAACACCTGGTTCCAAGAGCATCCAAGACGATTATAGATATGAAGAAGCTCAGAAAGAGAAACTAAAAACCAAATTGACTATCAACAAGAGATTCAGGAATGCAGTTGTTCACTGCAAAACCTATCAAAGTTCTGACTGCAGAAATGACCATATGTAAACTAAGAATGAAACTACGAAAACTGAAGAAGCCTAACACAGCACCCCAAATTACAATACAACAGACTCCTGAATGACCAGGACCTGAAGGAAAAATATATGGACAGTGTGAAAAGAAGGGACGAAATGGAAACTCAAAATGGGATACACTAAGAGAAGCTTTAGTGACATCAGCAAACGAGATCATCCCAAAGGGAAATGGACAAAAAAGAAAAAAATGAATGGATGACAAATGAGACAGAAAATAATGCCATGACATGGAACAGAATACAAAAATCTACACAAAGAAATAAGGGACAAATGCAAATAAGCTAAAGAAGAATGGCTCAACGAAAAATGTGCAGAAATAGAGATTGAGTATCACAGATAAAGGAGACATGCATAAAAAAAAATAAGTGAACAGGACAAAAGACATGCTCATCAATAGGCTGCATAACATCCAAGGATGGAATGCTCATATTAGAGATGGAACGAATATATAGGAGAACTTTTCCACAACGAAAGAGAACAATCAGAAATACAAAGAAATACCAACGAACTGGAAATATATTTAAAACTGAAGTGGAAGCTGCACTGGCTAAACTGAACAAAAACAAAGCAGCAGGGCCAGACGAAATTGTAATAGAGATACTGACAGCCGAAGATTATTTTGGCATAGAGAAGATCACAGAAATAATAAATGAAATCTACAACAGTAGGGATATGTCAGAAGACCTAAGCAGATCAATTTTCACAGCACTGCCTAAAAAACCAGGCACAAATGAATGTGAACTCCACCAGACAATCAGCCTAATGAGGCACATAACAAAACTCATCATCTAACTTCTGATGAATAGAGTGTACAGTAGAATCAGGCCAGAGATAGAGCAAGAACAGTGCAGGCTCGTCAAAGGCACCAGAATAAGGAACATGATATTTATGCTCAGTGTGTTATAAGGAAGAGCAATACAAATGCAGAAGGACATGTACCTGTGTTTTATAGACAATGCAAAGGCGTTTGACAAAGTATACCACAAAGATCTGTTAGAGCTGCTCAGCAACCTTGACATAATTGGAAAAGACCTTAGAATAATCAAGTATCTATACAGGTAAGAAACCATCTGCATACAGACAGAAAATGAGTTCAGCAGATATCCAAAAATAGAAAGTGGTGTAAGACAAGGATATGTCGTCTCACCGGATTTATTCAACCTATACAGCAAGGTAATTCTGAGAGAACTATTGGCAGCCAAAGTCTTAACAATATAAGATATGCAGATGAAACAGTGCTGATAGCAGATACAGAAAGGAAACTACAAAACCAACTACAGAAATTAGCTAAGGAAAGCAAGATGAAAGGACTAAGCATAAACTACAAGAACACAGAATGAATGGTTATCAGCAAAAGGATGAGTCCAAAATGCAAATTACAGGTCAGGAATACTAAGTCAAACAGGTACAGAAATTTAAATATCTGAGAAGTGTTTTAACAGAGGACGGAAAGTGCATCACTGAGATCCAAAGATGTATTGGGATGGCCAAAGATGCATTCCAAAAGCTAAGCAGAGTATTAAGAGACAGAAACATTTTGTTAGAAACAAAGAAAAGAGTACTGAACTGTTACATGATATCTGTCCTCCTGTATGGCAGAAAATGCTAGACAATCTTTTCAAAGATGAAGAGACTTGAAGCAACAGAAATATGGCTCTACAAAAAGATGCTGAGGATACCTTAGGTCAAACATGTGAGCAACAACAAGGTTTTGGAGAGAATGGAAATGAAAAGGAAACATTCTTAACATCAGAAAGATTCAATTGAAATTTCTAGTGCAAATAATGAGGAAATCTGATTCCCACAGGATAGATAGAGAGAACAAGAGATAGAGGAAAGCAGCATGTAACATACTTGATGGGTTTGAACAAATGGATGGTGAACAGGATTTGGGAGAAATAACAAAAAGACTAAACTTATTAAGAGCTACAAGGAACACGAGGGAGTGGAGGGCCATGATTGCATACATCCTAAAGGGACATGGCACATACAATAAGAGAAGAATTGGTGTCCTTCATTCAAATTTGAGAGGAGCTACTGTGTACAATTTTTCATTTTTAACTGATCTGCAAACAACAAGGGAACAAATTTTCCATGGTATCAAGAGACTAGAACATGAATATCCAAAGGATGTTGATCTCAATCTTGTTGATGAACTCTTGATGTTCCACTTGTATGTCAAACAGGCTCATGCAAAAAAAAAAAAAAAGAAATTTTCAGCCACCAAGACATGTACCAGATAATAAAATAGGAAAAATCCAGATTGCTTTTCCAAATGTGGAAACAATTTTCAGATTGCTCCTGTTTGATTGCAACTAACTGTTCTGGAGAAAGATAATTTTCCAGGCTGAAAAGGATCAAAAGTGACCTTCATTCAACAATGTCACAAGAGCAGCTGTCTCTGTATAGAGAATGATAAACTGTAATTTATTGATTTTGATGATATCATTGGTGAGTTTGCAGTCAGGAAAGCTCAAAGAAAGATATTTTGACATTAAATTACCTACCATAAATATGAAAATAGCCTTAACAGGGTTATACGAAAACATGGCAATTTGATTATGTTTTATGTAAACAATAAGCTTCTTCAACAATCATCACTATATGATTTAAGATTGTTATTTTCAGTAACAATTAAAAATTCTGGCAATCTTCAAAGGTTAAAATGTTACATAATGTTTAGATTTAATTACATGATGTTGACTATATTGACTATCATGTCTGTTCTTTTTTCATAAAATTTGACTATTTCATCACATGACCTATGTACGACAGTGTTAGGCAGGTTGGAGCTCTGATTAATATATAATAGCTTTCAAGTTTGTTGTAACATATATATCTGACCTATAGTCCATACAGTCTAGACCTGAATTTGGCCATAAAACATTGCCCAAGGCTGAGCCCTGATAATTCAAAAATTTGCCTAAGACTTATTGAAAATAATGATTGTTCAGACAACATGTAATATTTTAACTACTCCTAAATTTTCTGAGCATGTATGCCAGATTGCCTGTGTAGACATGCTGGGTTTACTTCTTTCAAGGCCCAAGTAAGTATATAACTTTAGCACAGGGCATCATTTGTCCTAAATCCAGCATTGGACATAGTTACTCTTAAAAATACTGAAATGTCCTGAACAGATTCTTAGGTCACAAACATGATTTAACCCCTGTCTACAAACTGCCTGCCTTCATTTAAGATGACCTCCCCCATAATCCCTGTGTCACACTCTTTTTGTC